CAGACTCGCACATTGGCGGCAAGCGACACGCGCGACAGGACACCGGCCCCTGCAGCGGTCACACCCGTCCAGCAGCGACTCGGCCGTCGACTTCCACGTTAGACGAGAGACGCCATAGCCCTCGTAGACCTCCACGCCCAGTCCGACTGGCTCATCCGCGCCACCGTCAACACGTCCGACTTTGGCTCGGCAGAGTGGACACAGCTCCACCACATCTACGCAGCACAGGCTACGGCTCAAACTGCCAGCCCGGCGTGACGGCGCCTGAGAGCTGAGTCGGCAGGCCGCGAGCGTCATCAACATCATCGGCAGCGCCACCGACGGCATTCTCTACGCTGTGAAGTATCTCTCCCCTTGCCTGTCATTTTGAGAAAAGCCCATCTCTGGAGAAAACCCACCTTAAGAGATGCCACGCTAACCATGCCGCGCAGTGCGCCACCGTCAACTTTGTCGAGGGCACCGGCTCCGAGAACAGCAAGTGCAAGAACGGCACCGACGTGACCGTCACGGCCAGCGACAACAGCGACCTCTCGGCCCTGCTCGAATCCAACTCGGACTCTGCGAGCTCCACCGGCACGGCTACCTCGTCGCCTACCAGCTCGGGGACCGCCTCTGCCGAGTCTGGCGCTGCCACTGGCGGTAACAACAGCGCCGCCTCTTCGCTGAGCGGCATGCTTGGCGCCGTCTCCGTGGCGGCGGCGCTTGCTGGCGCTGTCTTGATGATGTAAAAACAATATGTCTTCAAGTTGAAGCAATGAGTGCAAGCCGAGGCATGAGGCGAGGGAGGGAGGGCATATACCAAAAGTTGTTGTGGGTTGTAAGGAGGGAGAAGAAGGGGCGGTGAGATACCTGTACACCTAGACGAGACGAGCAAAGTGACTGCTAGGATTCACAAATACACAGCGCGTGACAGGCGCTTGGAGAACATTCACGTCGGCTTGTGACGAGCCACCGGACGGACGCGGAAAGTGTCAGAACCGCTTAGTGAGAATGTTCATGATGCATGGAGGGTCGGCACGAGAGAAATTGCCACACTAACAAGCTGGCTCAAGTTTTGCTTCTGAGGGACTCGACGGAGGCCCGTCACCAGCAGTAAGCATCACGCAAAATACCCATATTAGTGCACGAGCGACGGCAATCAGACGCATAAAATTACATTCGCTGTCAAACTTGCTGTCTGGACTAGCTTAAAATCGTTCGGCATATGGTCATGATCTCGTCGACGCATCACATCCCTTGCTCCGCGCCACTGCGCTCTCCCAGCAGTGGCCCCAACGGTGCCCATGCCGAAGTTGTGTAGCCTTTCTCCAATGAGATACGCCTCGTCCCGTATTCTCACCTTCCATGAGTGGAATACACCGAGCACACTCCACAACAGAACCGCCGCCAGCGCACTGAAGGCAGCCGCCGGGTATGCGAGGCGGTACACCATCTTGAGCTCGTGTGGCGCCGGGCCGGGAGAGCCAAGCATGCCACGAGCCTCGAGAAGGCTGGCACCGTAGGCAGGGCCAAAGAGGGCGAGCCCGCCGACAAACAGGCCGGGGATGACGAAAGCCCGTGTCAAAACGCCAGCGTCGGGGTCAAGCCAACCACGCCGAAGGACGGCGCGAACAGCGTGCCGCAGGGCGATGACCTTCGTAGAGACCTGTGCTAATTCGCGCACCAAGCTTGATATACAAGAGCCCCAAAATCCAAGACAGGCTTACACGGGCGGTGTACTGGTTAGGCGCGGTAACACCAGCAGCCAACGTACCGGTATTTTCTATCGGGTAGTGCGTATGGAGAAGGGGGGTTGACATATGTGTGGAGAGGTATGATGAGATACAGCTCCATGAGAGAGGTGAGTATCAGGGGGAAAGCGACGAGTAGGATGGTGTACGTGTACACGAGCTTCGCAGCGCGCAACACGAAACGTGCCAAGCGTGCTGGTGCCTCGCTAGCAAATACAGTCCGAAGAGCAGTCGCACTCCAGTTACGGACCTTTCCAACGATTGAATGGAGATGGAATGCCAAGTAGGCAGCGGGACCCGAGAATGTAAATGCCAATGCTGAAGGGGTATATGTCGTTGGTGGCGGATGTGCGCCGGGAATGAGAATCTCGAACCATCTTGGGGCCCAAAAACAAAGAGGAAACGATGGTGGAAGCCAACGCCCAGTGACTGGCGGCGAAGAACCCAAAATGAAAGAGGATGAAGAAGAAAAATACGGGCCTTTAAAAATGGGGGCGGGAGGAAAAACCAGCTGAATATTTGGTCCGAACGAAGTACAGGTCCGTATCAGGAAAGGTCAAGGCTTGCCATCCACCGCGTTCATCATCCCTCGGATACTTCCATGACCCCCTTGTCCGCCTTTGGGAATTTTGACCCTGATCGGAAGCCCGGCGGTGCCCCACAAAGACACCGTCTTGATGAGCTGACCGGACTCAACGAGCCTACGTTTCGTAGACTGGAGCTGGTGAATTTCTCTTTGCTGAGCGCCGACGATGGCTTGGCAGTACCACCTTTGAACGTGTTCTTCCATCTCTTGGGCACCACCTGGCTCTTTTGGTTGACCTCGAGGAAGAAGCGCTTCCACCACGGGAGGGAGCTGTACCTGGACGACGGGCGCAGAACCAGCGTACCCTCTTCATCAATCCGACGCTCACCAAACAGGAACCAAGTGAGACGTAGGCCGCGAGCGCATTTTCGAAGCCACCAAGTGTACATGGCATGGAGGCCATCACTGGGTTTGAAGAACTTGACAGCGAGTGGCATGGCGAAGTTATAAAAGAGTAGGTCAATCGGAAACTCCAGTACCGGCTCATTCGATGAGTAGTGAATTGGCAGCACGTTGGGTACGGTGAAGGATAGCCCCCAGACAACACCCCCAAGGCAGACAATGACCAGCGCGCCATAGACGAACGCGGAGAACAGTATCTTTCGAAGTTGCGTTACGACATTGCGCTCAAGGACGTCGCGAACGGGGTGGAAGTCGGGATCATCAGGATCTCGGATAAAGTCTGGACGTGTTAATTTTACCTTCGGGGAACCCAATGTCGATTCAACTTACATAGCACCCCCTTGCGCATGATCTTTCGACACATGGATACAAAGAGCGCGAAATGGAACATGTACCCAGTGCCTACAAACCAGTGCACAAATATTGAAGTTAGG